AAGTCACAACTCAAACAACAGCTTTAAAAATCAAACAGTGTAACATAATACAACACGAAAATAAGCCAATCTGATGCTTAGACACTAAGGGATAAGGACGGGAATATATTGTCTTTGTCCCCGTGGTGGAAGCAGAGACCTTTGCACGCACCGACACTGCATTCCCTGCCACGCTGCAGTTTTGAATCTGAGCCACACATCATTGGCTTTGTGTGGTGTGACATCCACGCAGTGCAAAGAGCCTACTGTGTGTTCGAAACAAGGCTGCAGTGAAGTCACTCGATACAAAGCAGGTGAGTGCAGATAGAAACCCTGGGCTTATCAGGGCTTTGTTTTTAAATACATTGTGCATTCATTTGCTCATTGTACGTTCTGAAACCTTTTCACTGAATCCCATAACCTTCGCTGTCAGTCACAGGACCCTTGCAGGCCATGACAGCATGATTTCAAAAGCTATAGCTTTGTTTCCATTTCTTTCTCCCTCTGATCACCAACTCTATCTCGCTTCTTTCCTGGGAAGAGAAAGCACCCTGGTGCGTCAGGCAGGGTACCCAAGCTGATGCTGAGCTGACAGGAAGCCTCAGAGAAAGGCGTCTAACTGGGAGGTAAGGCCAAAGGTGAGGAGTCAGATAGGTGCCAAGCAGACTAGAAGTCAGGGAAGGAGGAGGTGACAGACTCAGCCAATCTCTGGCTGTGGGCAGGCCCAGCCAGCATTGGGTTAAGGTCCCTCCCGCCTAGATTCCCTCCTCTTGCCACCGCCATTTCTGCCTTGAGCCTGCCCCAGTTCTATGCCTACCCAGGTCTGTCATCACTAGCAAGAACTGTCATCTCTCCAATCTGATTTGATCCCACAACCTGTTCAGGGCTGTGCTTTCCCCTCCCCCTCCCACTGCCCTTCCCCTTCACCCTCCACCCCGTACCACTAGAAGCCTGGTGTGAGTACAGCTGCCACATCTTCCAATGTGTTTACCAAAAGCAAACCGTAAGACAGACTCGGGTGACCTGCAGCTTCTTTGGGGGGAGTTTGTTTTAATTGGCACATCTTTGGGAAAGTGCTAACAGCATGCAAACGAGGCCCTCACTGTGGTTGCCTTGAAGTACTTCATTTGAAAAGCGTCCTATGGGAGGTGTAAAGGGGCTCGAAGGATCCTTGAAAGATCCTGGCTGCACCTCAGAGGCTTGTTAAAACAAGCTTTTCATTTAAGTCAGACGCGTAGATTGCTTACTCTGAATTTAGACCTGTCGTTCTTCAGAGTATAAAATGCCTGGAGCTCCGAGGGCCCCCATCCATGCTTCCTTGACCACAGAAACCTCCCCTTGGCTTCTCAGGGAGAACTGAAGCTCAGGGTACACAAGCCTCCCCTGAGGCTCTGTGAGCTGCTGCAACCAGGACCTCTACTCAGAACAGAGAGCGTCTCCAGCCCACCGCCCCTCACTGTGAATGCACCCGCAGGACAGCAAGCCTGCTCCTGCTCTATTGCCAGGGCATGTGACCATGTGATTCCCTTAGCAGGCCCATTTCACAAATGAGAAAACCGAGACTTGCCAGAAGACTCAGAACTAGCCGACGGTGTAGTCGGGATCTGAAGTCGGGTTTGAGTCCAGAGGTCTGTTCCCTCACCCACACTGCTTTCTACTTTGCCTGACTGGTAACTATTAAACAAAAGCTGTGCCTGGATGTGCAAAGCTGATACTTACTAACACACACGTGGAGGACCCAAGCACAGTTTTTCAATGTCTTCGTTTTTTTTCATCATTCAATGACATGAGAACACTTGGATGCGTGAAACTGGCATGCAAATTTATTACTCTGTCACTTACAGTTCAACAGCTACCACTAATGGAGTGTTATTTTGTACACATACATACGTACTCCCAGCACTTGGCAGGTGGATCTCTGTCAGTTCGAGGCCAGCCTGGTCTACAAGGAGAGTTTCAGGACAGCCAGGGCTATTACAGAGAGAAACCCTGTCTTGGTAAAACAAAACAAAACAAAAAAAAAAAATGATTTTAAAAAAGTCTTCAGAAAGAAAAGAGGAATAAATGATGGTGATGACACAATGAAATGTGTCATTTTACTGAGTGCCCACCTGTAGCCAACTGTTTGGATATGGTCATGAATAATTTGGGCTGTCTCCAGTGGTGTAGTATGTAGTTTATATCAACAACAATTGGTCCTCAAAAAAAAAAAAAACATTTAAGGGTTTGTTTGTTAGTTTTAGAGGGGATTGGTTGATTGTTTGGTGGTTGGCTGGTTGTTTGGCTGGCTGTTGGCTAGGTGGTGGTAGAATCTCCTTAGATAGCCTAGGCTGGCCTCTGACCCAAGGACCTCCTAGCTCAACCTCGCAAGGGTTGGAGCTGTATTTTCAAGTGTGTATTTTCTCATGCCTAAAAAAAAATATTTTATGTTTAAAATGACCGTCCCAGGATACCCCTTTCTTATTTCAGTAAATAACATGAGTTATTACAAAAAGGGACCAATAGTAAGCTGTAGGTGGAGCAGTATGAGCTCCAGATGAAACTGTTTACAGCAGGGACTGTCCTGCCCAGACACACAGATCCAACACCCTTAGAACATCTGCACACCAAAAATAATGCAGACAAATAAAGCAGTATTGGAGGGCCTGGGCCGCTGGTGCTGGGTAATACATTGCAGAAGCAAAATCAATATGTCATTAGCCAGGACCCAAAGCCCATGATTTAATCGTAAAGCAAGGTGAATCTGTAGGGCCAGCTGGCTCCGTGGCCGCCTCAACTCCACCCACATTGATTTTATTTCTTTAGTGAGGTGTTTCTTAGTAGACAGCCTCTCATTACTCAGAGCTGGCATCTTGGTCTTCATTTCGATGTTGTGAACTGGCTTGCCATGATTTGAAGATTTCCAGCACTTGAAATTTTTCATTGTGAGCTATGCTATTTGATAAATATGTCCTATGGAGTCTATAGAATGCCGTGAAAGAAAAATTCTTATGGCGTGGTATTTAGGAAAAGGTAATAGTCAGGGTACAAGGCATGACTCCCAGTGTAATGAGGGCTTCTGAGGGAAGGTGTGATTAGTCCACACACAAACACGCATGTAGTTGCTTATACATGATAAGAGGCCTGGGAGGATCCATACGAAACTGTGAAATTCTGGAGGAGGAAAGGAGGCCGAGGCAGGGTTGGTGCTGAAGCAGGATGTACTCACATTTACATTGTGTGTTCTCATAATGCCAAAATTTTTCCACAATAAGTGGAATTGAAAAGCAAAGAGGAACATATTTCCAGTGCTCGACAAGCAAGCCCACATGGTCCAAGCGCAGGATGGAAGACATGGTCACAGAAGTCATGGAGAGCTGCTTATGGCTCAGATTTGTAGACATGAATGCAAAGGGTACTGGGTCCTGACTGGGGTGAGGGGCAGGCACTGGAGGGAGCTGGCGATCTTCCTCATCTGCTCAGGCATCTGGTGCATGTGACTTGGATACAGATGGGACCTCCGGAGGAGGAAGAATGGCAGAGCGAGGGCCCCATGTGGACATAGATGTCACAGGAGCTGCCAAGCTGGGGCTGCAAAAATAGCTCCTGTCCTTCCTGTGTGTGACTTTGTGAAGGACAGCTTCTGTTAGCCCCGCCCCAAAAGACACATTGTAAACAATCATATAAATCTTTTATGAGAAATGGAACCACTCAGGAGGCCAGGACGTGCTTTTCCCACAGACCTGTGAATGTGGGGGTGTCCACATAGCCAGTGATTCTTTCCTCTGCCCACAGTGGCCAACCTAGGGAGACGGCGCTCAGAAAGAGGCTGTGATCTGTCAACCCATGTCCCAGCCTTCTCCTCACCCAACCCAAGCCGCCAGAGGTCCAGACCAAGCTGGATCTGGATAAAGCCCCTTCCTCTCAGAGGCCTAGGCATGACTCCTTTCATGACTGTAGTCAGGCCTTCAAGCACAGAAGGGTTTTATAATGTTTGACTGAGGGACTCCTCTGGACTCCAGCTTTCTCAGTGCTCTGGGAGTTGCAGGGAGAAGTTCACCCCAAATAAGTTCTGGGCACCTTCTGCCAAGTGTGGCTCTGAGGACTGGGGAGTAGCTGTGAGGCAGCCAAACAAGGCTCTGCCCCCACCCCAACCCACCCCCTGGAACTCAGAGCTTTGTACACTTTGTCATCAGGGCTCTTCCTGCCCCAGTTGCTAGCATTCTGGGTTTTCCTATGTGTTGTGGTTGATAATGCCCGAGCTATTGGGCCCAGACCAGGGGAAGGCAGCATCTGGGGCCAGCCAACTCTGATCAGAGGAGATCTCTATTACGGATGAATCTGAGCTATGCAGACTGCTCATGACACCGTGTAACTGAAAGTAAAAAGCCAACTGTATCTCAAGACCAAGTCAAGCAATATGGGCAGGATTCTGACCTTTGCCTCATGATGACCACATAACATTTGCCTTCAAAATGTTAATTCCCAAATTCTTCCTCAGAAGTCATTTGAGGTTCCCTACAATTTAATGATGCTCTATACACTGTCCAGTCAAAATAGAGCAGCTGTCACAACGGGACCAGGTAGGAGGGCTTTGTTCTGGACTTCTTGTGGGTCTCCACAGCAGGAGGGTGGCTCTGGGTAACAACACTCGGATTGAAGTGTTGGCTGCCTTTCAGAGTCTGCTGACCAGTGTTGGCCTGGATCAGACCCCTCTGTGTCTGGACCTTAAACCCGTGACTCAGCCCTTCATGCTGAGCAAATAAGGAAGTTTAGCCGATAGAGAATAGAGATGAAGTCTGGGTCACAGCTGTACCAGGTGGGGGATGGGATAGACTGAAGAACCAAGGTGCAGCTGAGTGGGATTACCCATAGCCAGGCTACACATGGGGCGCTCTGTGCCACCTCCTGATGTTGCTGGGGGGAATGGATCCACGGCACATGAAGAATTAAAATGGGGATAAGACAACGTCACCACACTAAATCCCTCTTGCTGCCAGAAGCCCAGCTGTCTACATTAAAAACATGTGCTTCTCTTGCAGAGTGACGAAGTCCTTACCGTCATCAAAGCCAAAGCCCAATGGCCAGCCTGGCAGCCTGTCAACGTGTAAGTACCAAACAGACACTTGCCTTCCCTGTCCCATCCTAGCCTTGTCCTCGGAGCCACCTAGCTCATAATCACTTAATGCTGGCTGCACCCCTACAGCTAGTAATGCTTCTCAGATGAGCAAGCCAGGAGGCCACAGCCACATGGGAAGTCTTCTTGGGGATGTAGGTTTGGCCTCTGTTTTCCCCAGTGGTCCTCCATCCACCACAGAGGACCCAACTAAGACACATGATTCACCATGGCATGTTCCCTTGTGCCCTCAGTCCGGTGGACTAAGTACATGCATGTTCCGTGCCATGGCAACACAGATATGCTCATTCTAAGCAATGATTCACGGGAAGCTGCACCTGCGCCAGTCCCAGTTCTCAGATCTTCTCCTGTCTCTGTCAGCTCTGTGCCTTGGAGAGTTTCTCTGCCCTGAAGTCTTCAGTGATCCAGAGGAATGCCACTGTCAAATGAGCACAGTCCCAGATGGGTGGGTAGATGACCAGTGACAGATACTGGATAGATAGGTAGATAGATAGATAGATAGATAGATAGATAGATAGATAGATAGATAGATAGATAGATAGGACAGACAGATAGATAGATGGATTGATGGATAGATAGGACTGGTGGTTAGGATGGAGAGAGACAAAGAGAACAGTTTGGAGAATACTTCTCCATAGATGGCCCACATTAAACCTGAACTCATCATGTCCAAAGTGGGACCCTTCATCTTCACACAAACTTATGGCATGGTTGCACATGCCTTTAATCCCAGCGCTTGGGAGGAAGAAGAGAGTGGATCTCTGTGAGTCTGAAGCCAGCCTGATCTACATACATTAGATTCTAGGTTAGGCAGAGCTACACAGTGAGACTCATCTTTAAAAACACCAACAAACAAATAAAACCTTATTCTTCTTCATGTGGGCAAACATCTAAAGCACAGCGGCCCACAAAACCTCACTTATTCTCCTTGCTGTCTTCCCTCATCAAGTCAAACTATCAACCCTTCATTCCTGACTTGCTCCAGGTCATTCTATAAGTCCCCATAATCCAGTATCATCAGCTGCACAGTTATAGGTGTGTTTTTAAATGAATCTAAACCTGTTGTGTTCCCTTCTTCTTAGCATCTTTCTGTTCTCAGAAATGTGTGTTCAGGAAAGATGGGGTTGGGAGTGGGGAGGGTAAGTAGATGTCCTCAAGATCCCAGTTGCCTCAGTTGGCACTTAAATGAATGCCCACCTCTGCCCTCACGGTGACCCTTTTCTAGACATTGAAACTCAGATGTGCCCCTTCTGTGACAGGCTCAGTGTTGCCCTCTGGGCCAGTAGAGGGTGGATTGGGAGTGTCAGCCATATTGAGATTACTGGCCCTCACCCATCCTCCCTCTTTATAGCAACATCCCTCAGATTCGGTAACATTGCATTCATTTTCTCACTTTTTAATACATTTCTCTCTTCTAGTCAAGCTGAAATTAATAGCAGAGTATCAGTAATAAATTGACTCTTGTCTAACAATGACAGGAAACAAAATCCGACCTCTACTTTACCCCGAATCCTTCAAGCAATGACAACCTAAACACTTCATTGATTTAGTATATACTTATTAAGATCCAAAGACATGCTCCACAGAGGGGGCTGTGAATCCCGTGGTGAGCAGAACTCTTTATGGGGCCTGCAGTTCAGTGGGGGAAAATATTTAGCAAATGTAACCTATATGTAAAGTGAAGTCATGGCGAGGTCAGAATGAAGATGAATACAGCACATTCAAAGCATTAAAATGTTTCTAATTTCTGTATAACTAGATGCTGAAATCAAAGGTGAACTTCATGTGGGGCCAAGCTATGCAGCAGTAAAAACTTAGGAATGATAGGGTCATCAGGAGGTTGGGGTAGGAGAGACATAGTCAAAGAACATTGCATACTTATATGACAATGTCCCTGTGTAATCTAATCCATTGTACAATAAATATACCAGTAAAAGTGAGAACTCTTTTAAAATTTTTAAATGAAAACACTTATTGAAGCATTTTCAGCAGAAGAATATGATCAGACAGCATTTGAAAACCAAAAATAGCAATGCTGATGCTCCAATCTGAAAAGTTGAGTGAGGTGGGAAAGGCAGGCAGGCAGGCAGCTGCAGAGAGCCAGGCAGGAGCAACTCCACTTCCAGTGGGATGGGAGTGGTGGTGGGTGGACACAGAGAGGGGCAGAGGTAAGCAGTGGAAGGTTAAAAGGACAGCTGTGGTGACAGACTGAGAAAAAAAGATGAGGGCGGCAGGATGGTCAAAGTGCCTCTCCGGTCCGGGACTGACCCAAGCAGGGAGTTGGCGGTCCTGCCCATGACTGGGGACGTTAGGTGAGGTTTGATGGGAAAGCCCGTGAGATCAGCTCTGACCACGACATGGTGCTCACAGGCCCTCAAAACATGTATATGAAGGCCAAATGCCCAGTTAGATAGCAGGGGGGTGGTTAGGAATAAGAGTCAAGGGCTTAGGACAGAGTCCCCACTCTTGGTGAAGACTTGCCTTCAAGGGAAAACAAAAGAGAACAGCAAAAAGGTCCCCAAGAAAGTATGGTTCCTCCCCCCCCCCAAAAAGCCAGAGAAGACTGTGAGGAGTGTGGCCAGCTAGGCGTGAAGTAAGTCAAGGCTACACAATGTGCTTTAAAGTCACAGACACAAAGGCCACTGTGCCCTCTGCCATGGGATGGGGAAACCCTGCACATGGCAAGGGGAACCCGGCCAGAGTGAGGCTGCAGATTGATAAATACAAAGGATCTGGTTAGCCCACGAGAGAAGACTAGGGTTGGCTGGGCTGTGACTACAAAGGGATGAAAATCAAGTGGAGTTGAGTGTGTGTGTGTGTGTGTGTGTGTGTGTGTGTGTGTGTGTGTGTGTTGGCTTGGGGGTGTTACTGGTTTTGCTTTTGGTGGGAAGTTGTTTCTCTTTTGTGTTTTTCTTCTTCCGGAATATGAAAGACTTCTTGAAAAACTGAAGTTTCAAAAATATTACTTGGGGAATATTTCCCACACATCACCTATCCCTCAGACGTCCTGAGACAATAGAGAAAGAGAGAGAGAAAGAGAGAGAGAGAGAGAGAGAGAGAAGGAAGAAGAAAAAGAAGAAGAAGGATGAGGAGGGGAAAAGGAGGAGGAGAAGAAGAGAAGAAATTGATGGCAAATACTGAGCTCCCAAACATCCAAAACCTTTCCATTCCCAAACGATGGGCTTGTTAAGGAAAAGGAATTTTCCTTTGATTTTTCCCAAACCCTGGACTCCCCTTTCCTTTCCAGATCTCATTAGGAAGTCAAATTAGGAAGCCTGCATGCAGCCAAGTCTTGTTTTGCCCTGACAACCCTCCCGCCAACCCAAGCCTGCCTGATGGAGGTTAATGGGATTCCAGCCTCTTCGCCCGGTGGAAAGCAGGGTGACCTACTTTGCAAAGTCCTGCTTGTTGAAACTGCCTTGTGTTTTCAGCAGTCTTCACCCCCCATTCCCAGCACCCCTTCTCAAAGGATAGCCGTGAGTGAACAAATTAGCTGGTGACTTGTTTAATTCAGCAACTCAAGCCAGAGCACTGAAAGCTCAATGTTCAGATGGAAACAGGAAAAGACAGATTCTGAGCAAAGCCACATCCTTCACTGGTTCCTCGCAAACACAAGTAGAAAACAGTCTACAAACTGTTCTGAATTTGCTCTGCTCCATTCCTCCAAGGTGGTCTGAATGCTAAGAATTGCCAGAACTTTCAAAGATATTCCTGTCCTGGAAAGGACTGGCATTTTCCCTACACTATTCCCATCCATTCTGCTTGGTAATCTCTTGCTTAGACAATGGTCCATGTTAGAGACTGGGTCAGTTTCTTTAGAAATGAAACCAGAAACATCTTCCTTTTAAATCAGCCCGTGGGTTCCAGTTCCTGCCCTCAGTGGGAGTTGCCTGGGTCCATCCGCACTCTTGGGGTGGTAAAGGAACACGGACTAGAGCAGGTGGTAGAGCTGCATGTCCAGATGGACTTGGAGTCCCAGATGCCTTCTGGTTAGAAAGGAATGTTGCAAGAACCTGACAAACCGGGATCCTCCAACTGTGGACTTCAGTCTAATGTATGGCTTGGGCGCCCCCTGGTGGCTCAACAGAGTTTCTGTACTTGAGAAACCGTGGACTCCTGAGACAAAACTAAACCTTTTAGGAGCTGTTACCAGGTCTCATTGGTAACATAGAAAAAGGCAAGGATCAAGGTCTAGATGGATCGTAACAACCATTTCTTGCCTCTTCTGTGGTGTTTTGGGAAACTTTGTTGCAAATGAGGCATAGTATTGTAAGAAACCATGAGAAGCAATTTCTTCACATAGGTACAATAATCCCATCTTGCAGGCTTAGAAACTGCAAAGAAAGGCGGGGTTCAAGCATCTGCTCTCATGCCCTCATCCCACACACCACACTCTCTCAAAGGTTAGAGAAAGCATTCTCCACGAACCCATTTATTTTTTAACTTGTGTATGTGTGAATTGTCTGCTCATAACTTTACTGAGTTTGGGTCTTTTTCTCAGAGATTTGGCTCATCTCTCTTTAGACGCTGACACTTTTCAGTTATGCTGGATGAGGACCCTATTTTTCTTGGCACCAGAGGTGTTATGGTTCACATCTTAAATGTCCCCCCAAAAGCCGAAGGCTTGGTTTGCAGCTTGCAGCACCCTTGGGAGCTGATGGAAACTTTAAGAGTTGGGGAGAAGCCTGGTGAGGTGGTGCACGCCTGTAATCCCAGAACTCAGGGAGGTAGAGGCAGGCGGATCTCTGTGAGTTAGAGGCCAGCCTGGTCTACAAAATAAGTCGTAGATAGCCAAGGCTACACAAAGAAAACCCTGTCTCAAAAAAAAAGGAAGAAAGAAAGAGAGAGAGAGAGAGAGAGAGAGAGAGAGAGAGAGAGAGAAAGAAAGAAAGAAAGAAAGAAAGAAAGAAAGAAAGAAAGAAAGAAAGAAAGAAAGAAAGAAAGAAAGAAATGAGGGGGTTGGAAAGAAG